ATACAAATAAATAACATGCCAATATTTTAAAGAATAATTAATGTAATTTAATTTATTATCTAGTCATCAGTAATATCATTAATAATGTGATCATTATCTCTTAAATGATAAATAAATATTAATTTAAAAAAAAAAAATATTTGCTTTTATATACTCAAATAAAAATTAAAAAAATACTATCGACAAATATGAATTATAATATATATCAGTAAAATTATTGTAGAAGTTAATAAAATTATTTAAGGAAAGAATCTTTTTGATCATATTTGAATAAGAAATGTATATATGCAAGCAATTAATTCATATAGTAAAAAAATTCTAAATAAAGTATGCATTAAATGTGAGTTGATTTTTTTTGCTACTATTTTTGGTAAATAGTATGACTTTTAATATAAGTATAGATTTCTAATTGAATTATCTTTTGCTCAGTGTAAAAGAAGTGGAACTACCCCTTGAAGGAAATGAAGGTTGCTAGGTCCTTGTGGTTCAGTAGTAGCTTTGATTTGTTGTTTATGTTATGTTTTGGTTTTTGTTTTTTCGGTCAGTATCTTGCAGTTTAATCTTTGTTTGGTTAGCTTCATTGTTATCTCTATAGGTCTTCAGATATCATTCTGCCTTTAGTTGATGTATTGTTAGTTATTTTGGTTAGTCTCTAGAGCTCTTAGTTGCTGCTCTCTCATTTGCTATCTCTGAACTTGGGCTTCATAGCCCCGGATTGTACTTTCTATTTGTTGAATGAAATTTTATCGATTTGAAAAAAATATAAAAAAAAATGAATTATCTTTTGAATTTTAGTCATCTTTTAAATGGAAGTAATATATGTGAAAATTGAGAGAGAAGGTATGGTCTCACGCACGTGAAACGCATTAGAAAAGAGTGAGACTAAAAGGTTTTATCCCTAAATCAATTGGTGATGGAGATATTTTAGAATGGAAGTAATATATGTGATCAACTCCTTTTTTCTCGTCTCTCTCTAACCCTATCTCTCTCTCTAAAAAAAAAAAACTCAGATCTAATTCAGCTGCGGCCTTGCAGGGCCTCTCCAGCCATCTCGTCGGCAGCCATCACCAAGTCGTGCGCTCGGCGTTCGAAGGCTCGTCGGACTGGCGGCTTCCTATTCCCGGGTGAGGCGGCGGGTTCGCTCAATTTGGATTTTGCTTCCTAATAGGTCGCCACGGAGGGTCTTGGCCGGCGGTCCCCCAAAACGTCTCAACGACGGCGAATTTCTTGTTAGCCCGCGACTAAGGGTTGTGGTTTCGATCATCACTTTTAGATTTGGTGGTGGTCGGAGTTGAGATCAGGCCATTTTGTTTCCACCCTTCTCCCATTTTCTATGCTTTTGGGCCTGTTGGTTGCGTTGGCGGAGTAGAGTCGGGGCCGTGCCTCGTGTCCTGGGCTCGGGTCGTTCGGGCGGGGATGGTGGAGCTTGTTGTTGATCTCTGGTTTCGGGTCTAGGGGTTGGGAAAGGTTTTTAGTCTTAAGTCTAGTTAGGCGATTATTCTGCAGTTTCTGGCTTCGGGACTTAGACCGGGTCTTGTCCGTGTAGGTGGTTACCCATGGGTGTCGGCGTCAAGTTTTGTTTCAGTTTGGTTTCGTTGCTGTTGGAAGGGCCTTAGTTTATTTTTTGTGTTTTTTTGTTGTTGTGTTTGTGTTGTGCCGTAGGTGCGTCTTTTTTCTCCGCTTTAGGAGTGTGTATTCTCCTGTTGGAGAGTGTGTATTCTTCCGTTGGGGGTATGAATTCTTCCGTTGGGGAGCTTTTTGTGTATTTGTAGTGTTGTGTTGTGGATTTTATGCTACCTTTAATAGACCTCCCTATTCGGCTACTGAGCCGGTTGTAATTATGTATTCTAGTAATAAAATCTATCGTTTCAAAAAAAAATTAATATATGTGAGGATCAGTAAAATAGGGTGCGGTCCCACGCAGGTGAAGCACAACAGGGCGAATGCAGACTCGCGAAACTAAGGGTGCATAAACATAATTTTCACACAGTAAAAATATAAAAATAAAAATGATAATCATTCTCACATGTTCTCATATATTGTATCCTCTATAATCACATTATTTATAATCTTATTAAATAATTCTTTTTATCAAATATCAACATTTATTTTTTGCAATAGATATTTCTTTCAATGCTAGCATTGATGGACTTCAATTTTTAATTTTTCTTCAAAAAAAAAAAAAAAAAAAAAA